AATTTTATTAAATTATTATGCATGTTGTTTATTGGAGTTTTTCAAAATCAATTTATGAAATTCAGAATTGCAAATCTAAATTAAAATCTAAATTAGAAATAAAGAGACTGTAAGATTAAACTGAGGTTGATTCTATTGTTGAGCATTCAGATAGCATTCTAATTACATTTTTATTTGTAAATACACATTCTCATGTAAGATTATCATAATATTAATTTGATGACTTTATTGATAAAATTTTAAAGTTTATTTCAAAAGGCTTTGTAAAATCAAAAATAGAAAAGATTTTATAAATTGAAAAGAAACATTTCAAAAACCAATATATAAAAATAAATATTCAGAATTTTTGGAACAGAATTGATTCAGTTAAATCTAAAATTAATATATTTCAAAACAAAAATCTTGTTAGATCTTCTATCTACATTTTGCATAATTCATAACACTAACTAATTTTGAATATGTCGCTAAAGATACTATTTGATAATTTAGTTTTAAATATTCTAGTTTTATATTACAAATAAATAATAAGTTGACTTGCGTTTCTTTGATGTCATTCAATATATAAATAGATCGATTTATTAATTTTTTATCTAATTAATTCTTCCAATTTCCTCTCTTAATCTAGCAACACCTTGACTTTCTTCTAACTAATGTTGATTAATAATATATTTTTTGAACAAGCAATCTATCTACTTCTAATTTATCAATTTCTTTCACTTCTCTTTCTAAAATTTTTAAATCCCTATTATCATCTAGATAATCATTCTTTAATAACTGTACTTGCACTTATTAATATTGTATTATATTATTATACCTGAAATAATTGCTTTAATTGAACTTAAAGTATTTGGTGAAACTTATTAGAAGTATTCTTTAGAGTAAAAAAGCATCTTACTTTACAATTAAAAATTTAGAGCCAATTTTTCCATACTTGTGTCTAATTATTCTTGAGATTGATTTCTAATTGAAATCGAAATCTGATGAGATTAAATCTATATTTTTATATTGTATCTATAAAATATAAGTATTTAATTATTTTATTTTTTCTAATTCAGATGTTTTATATAAAAAATTATTATCTATTTTCAAATGGCACAATCGATTGAAATCAGAGTTTAAAGATCATAATTTTTGTTTTGTGCTTGCAGATATATATTAAAAAGTATAAAAAATAGGAAATAAACTGATATCAATAACATCATCATTTTAAATCAATTGTACTTCCTTATTCAAGTTTTCTTGATATTTTCCATTTCTTAGTTCAAATATGCTGATACAATCCTTGCTTACTTTTTTCCCTGTCACCCAAATTAATTAATCATCATTTATAAATTACAATCTGCATCCATATTCTTAAACTGTCTAAGTAACTACATACTCAAATTACCATTTTAATTAATTATCTTATTTCCATATAATTATTTACTTATCATCACCACAAGAAACCAATGTATTTTCTAATTAATTAAAGCATAAGCTCCGAATATTATTTGTATGCTTATCTAATGAGTAAAGATAAGTTAATTGATTATTAATGAAATCAATTTACCAAATCTTAATTGAATAATCACGTGCTCCAGAAACAAGTTAGTTTTAAGATTGATTAAAGATTAAACATTCTATACAATTAGTATGCTGTTAATATGATTAAGAACTCTTCCATTCTTTTTCATTTATCTATTTCCAACATCGAATTGATTTATCATGTCCACCTGATACAAAACTATTACTCTTCCTACTAAATTATAGACATTAAATGGTTTCAATGTGTCCTTTAAGTGTAGTTAATTCTTTTAAGTTTCCTTGCATAAAATTCCATACTTTAATATCATTATTAGAAGCAGAAACCATAAGTGATCCAGATAAATTAAAAGAGATTGCATAACAGGAAAATGATTATTTAATTGAATTATCAATCAATTGAATATGATGGGATAAATTCAAATTGTATAAGATTAAATCAGATTATGAATAGAGTTGTAAGTTTTTAAGTGTAGATAACTTCAAATTAATTTTATTACAAAGTGAATTATTAAGTATTTTAATTTACTCAATCAATTATTGTGAATTGAATATATTTTATTAAGGATTATTAATTAATTATTCTAATTCATCAAAGAAACTATATTATGAATTAATAATTCCAAAAATATCATTAAGACTTTTGATCCATTCTACAGAATTATATATCAATTAATCTAATTCTTAAATTAACTTTTATTTTATTTTATGAAGTTCATTCAACAACTATTCAACTTAATCCACTTCAACTTTAATCAATCTTTGGATATTTTCTACTTTATTTTTTTATTTATCTTCTATCATCTAAATTACCTTTTTAAATCCAATCATTTTAGTATCAGCTTCAAATGTTTCCATGCAAATAGCACACAAAAGACGTTCTTATCTCTTTAACTTTTTATCAAATACAACCATATGTATTGGTTCATTATGGTTTTAACTACAATTCAGCTATTTTTCTAATTCTATCATTTTTGGTTAAATCATATTTGTATAAAATTAATATTAAAAAATTAAAATTAAACATAAATATTAGCCTTTATATCAATTGACTTATAATTTCTTTTTTGTATAAAGGCTCCGTGATTAATTTAATCTACTGAGAGTTTAATATTTCTTTTATCTGAAAATTCAAGAGAATAATATAAAATGATCAAGTTAATTATAGTATATAATTGTTCAAATTTCTCTAATATCATCTTAATACCTAAATTAGAAGATTATCATAAAAATTTAAAACATTACGAAAAGATATTTTAAAGCTCTGAAATACATTTAGACTTAGATTTAATTGGATAAAATAGTGTTTTAATTCGATTGTTATTGTAAAAATTAAGAAAATGATTAGAAATCAAAATTTAATAATTAAATGTAATTTAACATAGGTGAAACACATAGTTTAAAAATGTTGTTGTTTTTCATTGGGATTGATTATTATAATATATATATAATTAATTATTAATAAAGTAACTTTCAATTTTGATTACCTTGAAAAATTATGATATAATGAATTTAAGATTTATTATTAAATTTCTTATTTTTAAAAATTGATTGAATAAAAAATAAAGTTTAATAATCATATATATTTTTGGTGATTATTTAATTAATTTTAACTTCTATTAAAAAAATTTTGTTTACAATTTGCATTTCTTAGTCTAAATTTGTTTTGGAATTAATAACATAATATTATAAAAGCATTATACATAACAAAGTAAAATTTCCAATTTTCCATCTGGGTATCAATTGTTAGAATATTATAAGACTCTTTAATAATTAGATTTTGTTAATTTTGGTCATCTTAAATATTTTGTCAAATGCACCATTCATATCCTAACAACAATCAAATAACTTAAAGGCCAATTATAAATATAAGTAAATATATTTTAAACTTAAAATATGACTGGCAACTGTAGTGAATTCACTTTGTTCTTAAAATCTATATTCCATGCGTAGAATCCATCTTCTTTACATATCTAATCCTATCGTATATTTAATTATTAAAACAATTTTGATCATTTTTTCTTAGATCATCTCTAAATCTATCAATTCTCCAAATAATTTTGCAATCTATTGAGTATACATCTTTCTTATTATCAGTTATTGGAACAAAACTTTTAATTTTTTCAAAATTCTCTCCTTTAAAGTATTAAATCTATTTTTGATAATTGAAATTTGCCTCTCTTAATTTAAAACCACTTAGTGAGTAATAATTGTGTTGATAAAGAGAATAAACTATTTCTCAAAGTTTATTTATGAATTAACTAGTGAATATCATAAAAAAAAAGTAATAATAAAAATATTTAAAGAATTAAATGATATATCAAAAATATGCTTCAGCAGTATTTTAACATTTTAGGGAAAATGGAATTTCTTATCAGCAATTTAAAAATTCTTAAAGATTAGATTGTTATTTAATTAATTTAAAAAGACTTAAGAAACATTAAGGAATATTGATTCATTTTTCTTTTATTATTATGATAATGTTTTATCAGAAAGACTTTTACTTACTTTTACTTAATCAGAAATTAAATATATTTTATTAATTAATATTATAGAAGATTATTTTCAATAAAGGGTTTGATTAAGAATGGAGTAACTGGAATATATGGAGCCAGTAATATAATTTGGGCTCAGGCAGAAATACTTTTTTTGACGAATAATAATTCTTCGCCTCTATTAGGGATAGGTAAAAGGGGTTTTTAACACATTATAATACAATGTTCATACAAATTTCTATTATTTAATCATAACATAATGTTTTAAAAAGTTTTTTCTTAAAAATTTCTATTATATAATCATTATATGAAATGATAATGATTATATAAATTTTATTTAGTCTTGAGTAAAATCTTTGTACATAAGTAGTTATAGGTCACATCATCAGCATTTGTTCCCATAAAAGTTCATCAACTATATTTAAGCCTTTCAAAGAATCAAAAATTATCTGTTCACATAGTTAAAGATTCTTCAGATTCAGATTTAATAGTTTTCAGTATCTTAATATTATGGCCTAACTGATCTATGACTATATGAAATTTATTTCTTATAAAATACTCTCTCTCTTTAATAAATTTCAGATTTATGTTTAAAATAAATCTGAACTTCTTGTTTAAACCTTAATTTCAGTTGGAATCTGTGCTTAAGAAGATTTGTACATTACGATGGTCATCATTAAATTCATGTTTTCTATCATAATCTTATGAAATAAAGTCATCAAGGTGAGTTTTTGAAAAATTACATAATTGATTTTAGTTTAACGATTTGCATTTTAAAGAGACTTGAAAATATGTAAAATCAAATTATTAAGATTCAGTTTAAATTTACAAGTATATCCAATTTTAAAATATTGTGAAAAGAACATGGAATATGTTATTGGTATTGTTTTAAGGAATACAGTTCTATCATTATAAAAAACAGTTTGAGTGAGTTAGCTTTCGCTACTCTTAAAGTAAGTAGATGGAAGGAAGTATTGCATTTGTTAGGTTAAATATAGTATAAATTTATATTTCATATGAAAAATAATGATAATCTTTTATAAAAGTAAATCTATCAAAGGCATCCTTAGAAAAATATGGAATGCCATGTAGTTTTAATTGCTATACACCTAATTAAAAGAATGGAATTATTTAACTTTTATAAATGGATTCTCTCCAAATAAGATCTTAGCTTTCACTATTAATTTAGGATTGAATAATAATTTAATTTCAATAGTTCATTTTTTCCTTTTAAGTAACGAATATATGTATTGAGTAAGCATCCTAACTAAGATGAAATCAATTCTTAAATAGATATCATTCAATTTGGAGGCATTATTAAAAAATAAGAAATCTAAAGGACATTTTATAACTTCATGTATAAATTTGAGAAAGGACAATATACAAAAATTTTGTTATTTAGTAATCCCAAGTATAAATCTTAGAAGGAAAATTATAATTTTAAATTGAAAGTAAATAATATTGTTACAAATTTTAAGTAGTTTATTTAATATTAATTTGAGAATCTAAGTTTATTAAATCAATTAATTAATTAGCTTATTCACAAGAATCTTTTTATTATTCAATTAATTCTTTTTATTAAAATTTATCTTTAACAATCGAATAACTATTCAAAATATATATTTAGAGTTTAAAATTTATTATAAAAACTCAAAACATTTTATGAATTATTAAAAATTATATAAATTTGATCCACAAGATAGATATTTCAGTATTTTCACCAACTAATTTGTTATTAAAACTAAATAAATATGAATAAAATATAATATTAATATCTATTTAGATAAATCTTTCTGACTCTTTCATTAATTGATTATCAATCCAAGTCTTTATAATATTAGGAATATATTTACACTTCCAATTAATTTACCTCCTTGTACAAGTTAAATAATGAAACTGTAGTTAGAAAATAAATCCTCTAATACTAAATATACAAGTTTAATTTTTTGATTCAACTCCCTTTACTGATTAGAATCATTTCTATTAACATAATATAAAGAGTCAGATAAATCCAAATCAGCTTAAAGATTGTTTGATTTACTAAAATAATATCTATTAAGTTATGGTAAACTATTAATATTTTATAAACATATTTAATATAAAAAAAACTACTAGAATCAGGTAATTTGATATTTAATATTTAAATTATTGAACTTAATTTTACAATTACCATGATTTAATATTTTCATTTGATAATATAATAAAATCATGAGTTAGAAAACAAGAATATAAATTAACTCTCAAAATAAGTAATCTACCATTCTTTAAATAATTTAAGGATTGAAATATTTAGTAGCTTCTTTACCTTGATGGAGAAGCATATTTAACAAAAAATGGTTTTTCATCTTTGAGATCTGTTTAAAAGAAGAAATTTATTACTCTAATCTATTCCCCTCTGAAAAACCTAGAGATTGATTTAAGACCTGTCCTTGAAATTATATTAACTATTATTGTTTAGCATTAAAGATATTGTATATAATTCTTAAGTGACACATGAATTATATATTAAATTTAATTTGGCTAGTTCTTCTACATGTCAATCAACTATTTTTTTATATATTTTAGATTCTCTTGTGAATATGATTCAACTCTTGCTTTGGTTGATAAAACTGCTTTTTCATAAATTTCTTATTTTAAATCTCTGATTTTGATTTTCTATTTTATTCATTACCAAAACCTTTATTTTATATCAAATTCTCTCAAATATTTAAAATTATTAAAATTTTTCTATTTTTTTTCGAAATGCTATTAAAGTATATAAAGTTCATAAATTTTGTTTTAAAGACTCTAAATTTTATTTAATTTATTTTAAAATAGTGTTAATTCAACAAATGCTCAAAGAAGCATACTTAAAAAAAGGATTAAAAAATATCTAAGCCCCAAAAAAGCGTGAGTAACATAAATAACTATATCCATACTATTAGCAATATTTATTATAACATTTTTAATATTACTTTTAATCAAGCCCTCAGGTATCATTATTATTATATCAGGAGGCTCAATGGTATTTTAACTATATTTCTGCTTGCACTTTTTTGATTAAAATTGGCTAAAAGATTTGATATTAATATATCTTTCTATAATTATATTTAAATAATAAATGCCTTTAATGGAATATAAAAATATAAAACTTAAATCTTTTTCTAAAATAATTAATATATATTAATTTTTTTGATTTAATAAAATGATATGTTAAATTATTATAAATAAATATTTAGTATAAATTTGATTATTAAAAGTAAAAGAATTTCTATTTTAATGTGCCCTCTTAGAAAAGATTATATGAACTATTATAAAATAGCAAATGTATCAAGGAAATAAATCTTATTTCTATTTATACTTGTATAATCTCGTAATATCATTTTTCTAGCTTAGGATTTCAATTTCTAAGATACATAATTCATATCTTTCTACTAAATGAATATAAAATATTAGAGAACTCTTTAAATGAATTAATAATTAATCTTTATAGATTCACAATCTCTATCAATAATATCTTAATATTGATTATCAATTACTACATTTGAAGTTATATGATAAATAGTGTGAATAATTTTTAGAAAGTTGAAACTATTGACAAGTTGTTTCTTTAACATTTGAACTTATTTTTCTTTATTCATTTAGGTTTCTTGAAATTAGAAATTTATTTAAATATTGTTTTACCTACTTGTTTAATTTGTAATAGTCTTTCTTGTTATTTAATATGCATTTCTAGTATAATTATTGTCATTCCAAATAGTAATTCACTAAAATGGATGTTTAATCAAATAATATTTGTGTTCCTGATAGAAGAATTCAATCTTCATTTAAATATTATATTCTCAAACTTTCAGTGCTGATTCTCCTTTTCAACTTGTCACTGATTTATTAAATATATGAAGCTCTCCTTGTTTAATTCATACTTGTGAATCAACTAGCTCTGTTGTAAATTTAATTTGTTGTGAGGGAATGAGTTGATCATTTGCAAATTCATAGAACTTTAAATTCATAAGGTTAAGGTAAAATTACTTAACTAAGAATTGAATATAAAAAATCAAATATTCATCGACAGATAACTATAGATTAATTTTGTGCACTTTCTGATTACTTCATTGTACATAATGTAAATGTTCAAATATCAAATTCAGTGTCTTCCATTTTTTTTGGCAAAATTGTAATAATTGAACTTTATGCATTTATTTTAGCCATTAAGAATATGATGATTATTTATTTACATGTTGAATAAATTATTAATTAATTCACTCTATTCTATTTAGGAATCTAGTTATACAAGCAAATTTGAATTGTTTATAAAATTAATTATGATTAATTTTAATAGTTTAAAATGAAAAAAATCTGGAAGAATGCACTTCTTGTGATAAATCTAGTTAATTTAATACTTTAAAATTTTGTTTGCTTATCAATAAGCTTATCAAGTCTAAATCAAATAATTGAGTCTTATAAATTATTGCAATACATGCACAGAAATTTTAAAATCAATTATTAAACATGTGTAATAGATTATCATCGATCTTTATACAATAATTAATGCTTATGTTAAACAATTTTTATAATCATAGAATTAATCTTCCTATTAGTTTGATTGCTATTAAAAATACTAAATAGAAAAAAGCTTCACATATATAGATATACTATTTAAAAGTAAATATAACTTTTGCCAATTAGATTACAAATAAATAATATATTCTATATCTCAAACTTAAAATAAGTAATTTTTTGGGATGGCGATATTATGATCTCTGCTGAATAATAAATATTTCAAACTCTATGTTATGAACTAAGGAACAATACATTTTTCAATTTTTTCTCATCTACTATTAAAAGAGTGGAAAATTCGCCTAAAAATGTTCTAATAAATGCCTAGAATATAAATTCCAAAAAGTGTAATTAAAAAATACATCATCAAATTTATTATTATATTGATCTAAGTTGAATGGATGATATTTCTATTAAGTAATCGATTTCAAGATCAAATCAAATATTCCACAGGAGGTTTCTCAAATTGGATTTTTGTAATTTTATTTGAAAGTTAAACTTTAAAACTTAATCTTATAATTATATTAGAATCAGAAAATAATATTTAATGTCCAAAAGTATAAACATTGAAATTTTTTTGAATTGATTAGATTATTAGATTATTATAGATAAAAGACGTTCAGACAATGTTTTTTTAAAATCATTCGTGATACAATTATATTTTTAAATGTAAAATAATCAAGGCAAATTAATCATATATTCATATTCTTGATAATTTAGTTACAAACAACCATACATTAATAGGGTTCTTGTTTCTGCATTTAACTCGTCAACTTAATTAAATGACATCGTAAATAAATCTCCTCTTGTACAATATTCTTTGTAACAACCTTAAAATTCGTTAGAAATTGTTCCAATTTGCTCACTATGGTTGTTATTTACTTTTGAGTATATCTTATATTCAAGTGTACCATGAGGTAAGCAACATTATCTACGATAATAATCATAAAGTTTCTCTTTCTCCGGCATTGTTATAACAAAGATTTGACCTTCCTTAATTATATAATATTACTATTCTATTATTAATCAGCTGCTAAATCTACATTCTTTATAATTTTAATAAGTGGTTTTTGAAAAATTTAAGAAACCTTACATTCTCTTTGGAAATCTTGCGAAAAAGCTTAAATATATCCTATCTAATTTTTATTAATCAATTTCCCATCCTAATAAATATACTTATAAATTTTCATCTATATCTATTCACATGAAAAAAATGGAATAAGGCAAGGTCCTAAATTAAATATATTTTTACTTTCTCCCTTATATAAAGTCATTTAGTCATCTTTATTATTTTTAGCCAAAAGTTCCATCGCCCTATATTAACAACAGTAAAAATTATAGAAAGGATTTGAATCTTCAGTCAGAATCCATTTCGTATTTTCTGGATTCTCACATTTGTTTGATATATCAAATGTATTTTCCTTGCATGGACACAAAATATCGCAAGGTCTAATTTTTTTTTTATTTTACTTATTATTTTGTCTAATGAAATAATTAGAACCGAATGGAAAATCCATATTTCTTGTTGATATTAAAATTAATTATATCACTCTTAAAAAATATATACTAGCCAAAAAAAAATTATTCTACATGATTTTTCAAAGCTTGAGCTATTAAAATGATTTTGATGCATAGAAATTTATACTAGCAATTTCGAAAATCTCACATGGATGAATCAATTTTTCTCTTTTTAAATCTATACTTATTTTTTTTTAATTAATCAGTTTAATCTAAAGAAATATTTATTTGTTAAAATTTCCTAAAGTCTTGTTGGTATAGTATTTCTTTTGTTAATAATTAGCTTTTAGGTTATAGTTTAAAATCAAGGTTAAAATTAAACTACAAGCCATTAACTAATATTTTAACCGCGAAATTTACTTATTAAAGTTATAGTTTAATCAACAGCTATGGCATATAATTAAAACAAATCACAAAAAAATAAATTAAGAATCTTCTTTCCTCTCTATATTTTTTACAAAGTTTAGAGTAAATTTATATTAACTTTAAATTATCTTCAATAGATTTTTAGTGTCAATTTTGATAATGACATTAATCTTGTTTTATCAGCATTATTCCGATTTAAATTAAACTGTGGAAGTTAAAAATCAATGCTTTAAAATTTAAAAACTATAAAAACAATTTTTTATATTTAATTAATAAATATGTATATTTTTTCTAGTATTTACAAAATTACCCTAATTAAATATTTATAATCAAAAACTTTCTTAGCATTCCGTTATTATATTTCTTTAGATAATTTATCCAAAGTTATTAAATATCAATCACTTAAAGTTTTGCAAATACAATTATTTTGAAAATTGATTAAAATAAATTTAGCAAATACTTTTGTTAAACTCCTAGACTTTTTTAAAGAATGTTATCATATAGAAAAAATATCCATTTATATTCAAAAGCTATTTTTAATAGTTATAAATAGAATGAAAGACTTAAAATTTATACATTTTTAGTAACGACATACGCCTAATTTTGGTTATGAGTTTAAATGTTTAAGTTTGCTCTTGATTCTGATTAGAAAACTAAAATATTGTTATTAATATAACACAATCTCAATCCTAATTGATTCACTTATATTAATATTTAAAATTTTTAAGCTTAGCCATAAAATTTTAAACAATCATTTGATGTTTAGAATATAATTTAGGATGAAACTCAATATCTCAAATAATGAAAGATATTCAGTTATTATTACAAACCATTATAATTATTCAATATCAGATGAAATTAATTATGTATTCATAACAATATTTATATAGGATTGAACTGAATAACCCTGAAGAGTTTAATTATTGATTATTATTTTAAAATAAAGTAGTTTACAAAATTAGATGTCATAACTTTAATTTCTTACTTTCATTTTAATTAGAATTATAATACTATTATAAGTTAAAACGTATTTGGATATCCCTTTTTCACTAGTATAATTTGAATAAATTATCAAACTTTTGATTATCATAGCGCTGTTTTCACAATTAATGGATAAATTTTTAAGTCAACTTATAAAGAACTTGCATTTACAGAGATATTAATTAAATTTAATTCAGTAAAATAGGTTAATTATTAGATGTTGCTCGTATAAAAAGTCAAAATATCAGTGTAATAATTTTAATATCCCATTATATATTATTCTCTTACTTTAGCATACTTTATTAACAAAAATCAAACTAATCTTGATAGGTCAAATTAAAATAGGTTTCATTATAACTTAATTTGTAATTTAATAATTATCCCGAATATCTATTAATTTATTATTGTAAAGAAACTTTAGAGTACAATGCTAAATGGTGGAACCTATAATCGAACATTATAGAAAAAAATATTTTTTAAACATAAGTTGATTTAAATGGATGGAGGAGGTAAATTAAAATATTATGAATACTTTTTTTTATAATAACTAATTAACTTTAATTGATTTGATAAAGAATGTTGCTACCTCCTACTGACTTTGACTTAATAGCCATTTCATTATTTGTTACATGTATAATAAATTAAAAATTTGACAAAAATTTAATGGACATGATTATTTAGCCTTCACATCCAAATAATTTAGCCATCATATAATCTGATGAATTAGATGTTTATTTGAAATATAACAAAACTCTTTGATCATAATGGGAGTAACTCCAAAAATTGTTATAAGTATTAAAAAATAAAAATTTCTCATACCTTTCTAAATAAAATTGTTTTTTTGATTAAATTTAAGTTGGTAGAGATGATTATATTGAATAAATAGTTTGCTATTATTCATTCATTAAAAGAATGAAAAAGAGTTCATGGTTCAAATAACAATCAGACATTAAGCAGATAGTTTTGTTAAATTTCTCCTTCCTTATGGTACAATAAAATTTTAACTCTGATATTTTTTAAGCACAAATATTAATGACCGAGATTAATAGGTCAATTTTTTTTAAGGTGATCGTTAATTTTTTTATATTTTTATAGTATTATGAAATATCTAATATTTATAATGATCTACGAAATAAATTTTAGATTTAAATTAAATCTACTGTCTTCATTCTTAAAGTTAAATTTTATTAATAGTTTTACAAAAATACACACAAATTTCGAAAATTATAAGCCATTTATATTATGAGTCAGAGTTAGACTNCTAATCCAAAGAAATATTTGGCTCCTTACAGTATCTTTAATTGATTTGATAAAGAATGTTGCTACCTCCTACTGACTTTGACTTAATAGCCATTTCATTATTTGTTACATGTATAATAAATTAAAAATTTGACAAAAATTTAATGGACATGATTATTTAGCCTTCACATCCAAATAATTTAGCCATCATATAATCTGATGAATTAGATGTTTATTTGAAATATAACAAAACTCTTTGATCATAATGGGAGTAACTCCAAAAATTGTTATAAGTATTAAAAAATAAAAATTTCTCATACCTTTCTAAATAAAATTGTTTTTTTGATTAAATTTAAGTTGGTAGAGATGATTATATTGAATAAATAGTTTGCTATTATTCATTCATTAAAAGAATGAAAAAGAGTTCATGGTTCAAATAACAATCAGACATTAAGCAGATAGTTTTGTTAAATTTCTCCTTCCTTATGGTACAATAAAATTTTAACTCTGATATTTTTTAAGCACAAATATTAATGACCGAGATTAATAGGTCAATTTTTTTTAAGGTGATCGTTAATTTTTTTATATTTTTATAGTATTATGAAATATCTAATATTTATAATGATCTACGAAATAAATTTTAGATTTAAATTAAATCTACTGTCTTCATTCTTAAAGTTAAATTTTATTAATAGTTTTACAAAAATACACACAAATTTCGAAAATTATAAGCCATTTATATTATGAGTCAGAGTTAGACTTTTGATAGAAGGGAAAAAGGTATCGATTTGTAAAAGAATGAATTATATTGGAAGGATTATATTTTATATTAAAACTTATTCTAAAAAGGAATTTAGTAAAAAAAAGTCTCAAATGATAAATTAAAATGATTATATAACTATTTCCTCTTATTTTCTTTCTATTATAAAATTAAATTTATTAATAACAAAAAAAATGTGAATGTTATTGTTTAAAAGACTAAAATTTATTTTTTAAAGTCAAAAAAGAGATCCAAATTTCGAGTATCTTAATTAGTTACAGGTCAAATGGTAATATGAATAACTTTTAAATAAATTAATAAATTTAAATAAGAAAACAAACTAAATAAAATAAAATGATTTTTTTAAGGCTAAGGTATGTTAAAACCAATATAAAATAAATAAGATACCCAGAAGCATAATCAGTTCTTACTTTCGGTGCAATCATTTTTAATTTCATATGTTCGATCTACTTTAGACTTATAAAGTCAAATTTTGAAAAAACAGGCTTATTGTTACAGTTTAAGAAAGATACTAAAGAAAGAAAAAAATGTAAACCCAGTTATAATATGGTTGTGATGTATTGGGAATAGCAAAAAAATGAAGTGAATTATCAAGCTAAAATATAAGCAATAATTATTCAAATTATTTAAATTTTAAGATTATACTATAGTTACATGCTAACAGAGCATATCTTCACATTAGCAAGGTCAGACTAAAATATATTAAGACCACAAATTCTGGTAGTATTCATATATAAAATCTTCATCAAAAATGAATAAATATATTATCAATAAATAAAATTGCTGAGACTTAGATCATATCTCTAGCAACTAAAGTAGAAAATATCTTCACAAGTTAATGTGAAAGGAAAATTTCAAGATTATTGGTTATCTTCCCATTTAATATTTGAGCTTTGCTTATAAAATGATATAATAAATACAAAATAAGAATCTAAATATTTTAGGAAACTACTAGAATTATTATTATTTTAAACATAAAAACAAATCTTCCTTCATTAAATGCTAGGATCAAAAGAAAAATACAATTAAAAAGAGCGATATTTTTCCATTTATAGTATATTATAGTATAAGGATCTAGGAAATAAACCTATAGATTTAAAAATAAAATAATATAATTCTCTTTTAACTAAATTATATCTGAATTCAATAAATATTAATAATTTTATTAACTCTTTGGCAATTTAAAGTTGAATTCTGTCAGTATTTTATTTTATACAAAATAACGTAAATAAATTTTAAAATTATGAATCTTTTAAAACCAAAAAATCTTATCATCTTCAGAATAAATTTTATATGTTTTGAGAATGATTATTTTGGCTTATTTAAACGAAAAATAAATAGATTAAAATATGATAAGAATAAATAAAATTTTAATTCACATATGGGCTATATTCCTATTGATATCCTTGATTTGGCAATATCTATTTCATCAATAATCTTAGATATAAGTTTTTCAATTCCAATTTTAGTTGATATCACAATAGGATCTATTGGTAGGATTATTTTACTAAGTGCTCAGTTAACCATAGGTGCCTCAATTGATTTTGAGAGTAAAGCCTATTGGTTAAATTTGGTTTCTTACTTGTTATTTCACATATTTGTCATAACTTTTGAGTTTAAATCCATTTTTTAAAAGTTGTCTAATACATTTTACTATGTACTTGCATATAAAGTGATGGATATTTTATTTACATTTTTCACAATGTTGTCTTCATTAAGCGATGATTTAATTGGGTATGAAATGCTAATTATAGTATTATCTTCAATTTTACTCAGCTTTGATTTAATAGGATTAATATTAGTAATAGCTAATTATTTTTCTTGGTGTAATTGTACTGAGAATAGATTAGAAAAAAACCAAATTGCAGTTGGTGGACAATTATGGTTAGGTTTTGGAGGGGCTTTTGGTTGTATAATTAGTTTTATCTTATAATTCGCATTAGGAATATTTTAATAATCTTCATAATCAAATTAAAGAAATAGGAATGACAGAGATCGTATATTAGAAAAGCATAATGGTAGAGGAGAAGGAAATAGTAAAGAAGATGAAAATGGTACTTCAAAAAATCTTTTTATGCTTGTAATATATACAATCTCAAGTGTGGCTATTTTTATTATTTATGTTTTTATCATAATTAAATTTTGTAAGAAGGCAGGTAGAGGATCAACTACAAAAAATTTTCACTCCTTTTTAATTGGAATACAATTTGGTCTATTTCTAATATTTGACTGCTATATAATTGTCATTTTTATGATTTTTTAATCTATATATATAGCCTGTTTTAAAGCAGAGATTTCAGCAAAAGATGGGGATATCAAAACAGCTGCTGGTTAAGAGCTAGAGAAAATAAAATGACATTATTGTGAAATTATATCAGTTAAATCAAAACAATATATTTATTATTTCTTTATATAAAGAGAAGAAGATTGTTCTATTTTAAGAATGCATTTTGATTAAGCATTAGTGTGATTTACAATAATGTTATCATGCACCATCAGAATATTACTCAAATTGTATTAATTATAAATAAATGAATTTCAAATAAAATTCTCCATATTTACTAAGAAAGAGGAGAAAGATAAGAAATTGATTCAATAAGTATTTTCAGAACAAATCAGTCTGATATAAGGAATTTAAATAAGAAGAAGAATTTTATTACTATTTATTCAATTTGAGCTATATTTAGGGGAGACTCTTGGAAATAAACATTTAAAAACAGATACTGAAAGAAGCTTTAGAAGCTAGAATTGATTAAAATTTTGTTAATTTTAAAAGAAGGAGTTAAAATAAATATCTTAAAACTATTTAAAATTTGTAGATAAAAAAATAATTGTAAAATCCTTTTATGATTTCAATTATTGTTTAAGTTTTTCCTCCTATGTTAACTTAATTTTTCAATAATAAAAAACTTCTAAAAAATTGTAAGTAGTATTTGAAACCCAAATTAAAAAAAGAAAAAAATGATAGCTGAGAAATTAGACAAAGCTAAAATAATTTTTAGTAGAGGAACTATTGAAATTGGGTAAGAAGATACAGATATTGGTTATTAAGCACTAAAAAGGCATAGAATGAAATTAACAGACTTTTATCAAAGTTTTATCAATTTTATTCATTAATAATAACTTTAGAAATGGAAGGATATTGAAAAATGAAAAAGCTCAAAATTATGAAGAATTAATTATAAATGTTGAAGAATGATCAGAATCACTTGTACTAGAAATGATATAAAAATAGTAAGTTTAAATTATTTACAAAATTGGAAAGATTAATATCCTGATAATTTGTTAGGAGATTAAGAATTTTATAAACATTTGCATTTTGTTACTGCATAGGATAATTCATATTCCTTTTTCATAAATAAATTAGACATAAATCGTGATTAAAAATTGACCATAAAAAGCCATATAAATTAACCAACTTTTTATTTATTCCAGCATTAAAATTAATGAATGATTAAGTTGATAAAAAATAATCTTAAAATAATTACTTATCAAATACCATAAGCATCATTTATTTAAATAAAAAAGTTATGAATATATAATTTACATATATTCAAATAAGTTTTTTATTTTAAGTCTTTGTAGAACTGTTCATACACAGAATAATTAAGTAGGAGTTTTTTCTTCATGTTGGAATGATTAGCAGGATGATAAGAAAGTTATTCTATATATATAATTAATATCAAAAAGAAATTGAAAAGATGAATACAACTAAAGCTTCAAAGTAGAAATATTCAGAATTTCAGATGATGAAAAAATGCTCGTCGTGAAAGGATTAGAAATATTTATTTTTTTTAAATTGAAAAGTAGAATAAATTAAAAAAGTTTGCTCAAGAACATTTAAAGGTTTTATAGTTCATATATATTGAATTTTAAGAATAGGAAAACGAAATAGACATCAGAGAAATAAGCGGAGAATTATTTTTATTTTAATAAATATCAGGATACCTTATATTTCATTTTCTAATATATTTTGAATTATTTTGAAAATTTAATATTGTAAATAAGGAAGTTTGATTGTGAAATTTATAAATTATCAAATTTACCGAAAGATAACTTATTGCCAAAAATATTAGAAACAAAAATAAATGAAATATTCATTTTAGTTTTTGTCTTATAAAATAAAATTTTTACATGCATTCACTTAAAGATATTACCGAAGTCAAATAAAATGAATTTATTAATCTTATTAAAATCTTCAAATGGTTAACTTTTAGTAATAGTTCATATAATTAATTAAATTTCTTTTAAGGAAACTTAGTAATTTTAAAAAATAAACAATTTAATTGTAGCAAAAATGGCAGAATTTCAAAGCTTCTCATTAAATGATTAATACTTGTGCTTCAATCTGAATCTGGTTGGGATTTATTGAAAAAAAATCATTTATTATGTTTAAAAAGTTTTTTGGACAAGAAATGAATTAGGAAATAATTTAAAATTGGAAGATTCTGATGATCTTAGCTTTTCCCTATTACTCTTTTCTTTAATTTTTTTTTATTTCCAGAATGCCCACTCAGAATAGATTTTAATTTTTCATTTAAATTGTTATGTTGGAAAATTATGCAGCTTAGATAACCTCTAGATTTAAATTATAGCATTTCTTCTGGCTCTGAATGAATTTTCAATTTATATTAACTTTATGATAAAATACTAATTATTAATTTTAAATAACATTAAGTATCTAATGATAAAATTATTAAGTTAATAACATAGTTGCACCATCATAATTTAATAAACTTATGATTGTTCGGATATTTGAATTCTTTAAGTTTATAAAGAATTTTTGCTTTATTTATTAAATCAATTTTATAAATATTTTATAAAAAGAAAAAAAATCTATTAAACTATTATTTTACTTTTAGAGATAGAATGATCTTGTGTTAATATATATATTAAAAATTATTAATTAAGTTCAGAGTTATTTGATAATGATTTTATTGATAAATTCATTCTACAACAATAATACAATTTAACTTATCACAATCAATTATATTGCTTAAAATATAGAAAGCCAAATTTTTTGTTAAAACAAAATTGTAATACACTACAATCAGATTTTGCTTTTCAAATAAAATAGGGTTTTTCATCCAAATTAAAATCACATAAAATTAAAAACATCATAATTTAAATTATAATAACATATCTAGAGGCTCAAAGAGCTATTCAAGATAACAAAGAAATACTAAACTGCACTAGAAAAGAGTTTAATTCCTTTGAAGAATAATTAAAACTTATTTAAGAAGGGAAGATAATATGTAAGAGAAGAAGCATCCTAATTATGGAATTAAAAAATGATATAATTAAACTCCATATAATTTTTTTCTTACTTTTATTATAGACAACCTAGAAGGAAATCTTTGGCTTGAGTGCATGAATAGATTTTGCCTCTTATATATTGTACTTCTAATAGAAAAATAATTATATTAGATCATTACAAACCAGTCTGATATGGAAGGAAAATAAAATAAACGAAATCTGAAAAACCTTTATTTAATTGAAAAAAAATTCAGGGTAATGGATTGTAGAGTTTTATAAGATAAATGGAAGGTAAGTAAAGAATAATAATTAGAGATACAACAAAATACCATAAATTTTTAAAACTGGTAAATAGAAATAATTAGAGGGAAGAAATAGATTATTTTATTAGATAAGCATAATTATAATATTAAAAGCCATATATACAAAACTAAATTTTCTTTTAAGAAATCAATATGACAATGCTCTATATTTAATAAACATCACATAATATAACCTACTATGATATATTATTGGGAATTAAAATATTTAGAATAGTTTAAAAAAAAAGAGTATTATCTAGTGTTTCTCAAAGATAATAATATTATTGAATAATTATAATTAAAATGAAAGAATTATAATTATTCCCTAGATCCACACCCTACTCCATAATAAACTGGAGTAATAAGATTGATCTAATTTCTGGAAATGTTGTTATCTTAATGTATGAACTTTTCTAAATAAAAAAATAAAAGACCGCCTTTTTAAAATAGGAAACCTTCGACTGGATAATAGCATGGATAAATCCATGAGCATTAAGAGTTTGAGATTATTTATCTAAATTAAATATTAAACACTAAACATTAGGGAGACCTATTTTAGAATAAATAATTTCAATCTAATATTTTATTTCTTGTAATTCAACAGAATTTTCTTGAAATAATTCAAATAGCTTTTTAGATTTAGCAACTTTAACCGAAAATTGTGGTTAAACTAAAATGAGTTATGAAAAATATGCAGACGAGTTTTTCTTCATAAACAATCCCCCAAATTTTCAACAATTAATAAATAAATTCCTAAAACTCAACTTCATTAAATTATTTATTTCTATCAAAAACACTGATATTAAATAGTTAAATAAGACTCTAGAATTAATAGAAAAAAATCTTAGATCTAACAATAATAATACTTCACATGTTAATGAAAATATTGAATTTCTCAATGATATTTATCTAAATTCTCAAATCATAAATTTTGTTGAAAAAATTATTAATTCAGTGTTTTCATAAAGGGATCATCTTCTTTTTGATTAATAAGATTCTTATTTAGATGTTTTCTAAGATTAAATTAAAATTTTGGAAAGCTTTCTAATTTTAAATTATATTCCTGTAATGAGGTTTCTTTTATATACAAATTAGACCACCCAGAAATTAAAATTGAAGAAAAACCTTTTAGATCAAAAAAAATTATATTATATACTAATAACTTAAAAATGAAAAATGATTAGAATGTAAAATATTAAATTGAATATTATTGGTAATGCATAGTGAAATTCTCTTAAGATAAAAATAAGTGTAATCCCCTAAAATTCTATCCATTCTTTTTAATAAAAACTCTTATTCCTTTTATAAATTTTTTTAAACAATATAATTAAATTAATATTGTATAGATTTTATTAAAATGATATTTGATAAAAAATCAACTTTAGAAAAATAAGAAACTAAGGGTGTAAAAGATCAAAACATAATTTAAAATCAAAACAATTGTTGTTGTGAAGCATAATTCAGAAATAATAAGCAAGATCCCTAAAAATATTATAAAGGCTAGATTTGGAATTCATAAAAAGCTCGATTTGAGCAAATTTAATTTAAAATAGAAATTATGTTGGATAATAAAATTAAGTACACTTTATCCAATGGCTCTATTATTGAATTGTACTAAATTATGAAATTAAATACTAGAAATGATTTTAATGATCCTGAAATGAAGATTCAAGAGTTGGTAAATTTAGAATAAATTAAATATCTTCGTTGGTAAGGAAAATACGGTGAAAATTAGCAGAAAATTGGAAAGTGGATAGCATTATGGAAAGGAGAAAGAATTTTCGATTCAGGTGGATATTACTGTAAAGATGGATTTAAATAAGGATAATGGAAAGAATTAATTAAAAATTACTCAAGGTTTTTAGAATTTTTAATTCTAAATTAGTTAAAACAAAGCTTTTGAAATTGGAGAATATTTTAATGGTTATAAAATAGGTACCTGGTAATAAATTTTTGAAGATTAAGTGATGTATATTTTTAATATTCAATATGTAGTGGAAATGGATTTTACGACGACTCTGGTCTAAAAACCTCAAAATGGATAGAGTAGGATTATTATTTTTGGAAGTATTAAAGTCAATTTTTGGTTAGATTTTATTAAGTTATTTAATAAGGAGAGTATAAATTTGGTCTAAAAATAGGGAGATGGGATATATTTCATAGAACGGAGAACGATAAACCATATGAAAAAATGTAAGACAAATATATAAGTTTTATTTAATAGTGGAGGAGGATATTATGATCAATAAGTAGATTAGTAAAATTCTGAAATAAAAAAAGGTTTTTGGATTGAAGTGGGTAAAGGATTATTTATGTATATTTTTATTAAATAAAAAATAGGTATGATTTAGTCACTTTTAATGGTGAATATTAATATGGCAAAAAAGTTGGTAAATGGACAACACATATAAGAAATCATAATTTTAGTTATGAAAAAATGTATAAATTGTTGAAAATATATTTTGTATATAGTGGTGGTGGTTATTATGACAATCATCAAGAAGGTCATAAAAGCTTAGATGTAGATATTAAGACAGGTAAATGGATTGAATGGAATGAAGAGTAGTTTAAATGATTAAATTTTTAGTCATTCTTGGGTTATATATGAAGGTGAATATAAAAATGGATTGAAAGTTGGATTATGGAATACATTTTATAAATGTGATAGTACCACTCCTTTTTATATGATGTAAAAATATTGTTTTACAGGATTTGTTTATAGAGGCGGAGGTTTATATAAAATAGACATTGAGAAGGGTTCCATAAAAACAGGAATGTGGATTGAGTTAAGCATAGATTTTTAATGGTAGTTAAATTGGAAATAATCAATTATTTAGGGACAATATCACAATATATTAAGGAGAGTATAAAAATGGTTTAAAAATTGGTAGATGGGAAATATTTTAGAGATTAGATATTTTAAAAAATTATGAAATGATGTAAATTTATTTAAAAGGAATTTTTATAGTGGGGGAGGATAATATTAAGGAGATGATGATGGTTTTAATAATGGAATTAAAACAGGTAAATGGGTGGATTTAAGTGATAAGTAAATTTCATTTAATCTATTAGATTTAGATATGGTTTAATTACTTATTATGGAGGATATAAAAATGGAAAAAAAATTGGAAAATGGGATATATTTCAAAAATTATATGATTTAAATGAATTGATGTTAAATAATATTTTAATTATTTAGAGGTGGAGGATAATATTCAGATATAAAATAAGGTCATTGTGACAATGGAATTAAAATTGGAAAATGGATAGAGTTGCATGATGGTTTTTGGTCGTAATAATTTATTAAGATTTAAATTTAGTGAACTTTAAGTAACATTTGTTGGAGAATATGTAAATGGTAAAAAAATTGGTTAATGGGATACTTATTTTAAGGAAAATTAGTAATATATAAAAATGTAATTTTTATTAAAAGATTCTTTATTTAGTGGTGGAGGGTAGTATGTTTATCAATAAAATTTCTGGGATTGTGACTATTAAGCAACTAAGATTGGGAAATGGATAGAATTGAATGATGGATTTTGGCGGTAATAAAAATTATTTAAAATTTAGTCTTAATTAAGTCACTTGTATTGGAGAATATAAAAATGGGATAAAAGTAGGTAGATGGAATGATTATTAAAAAGACTTTAAAAATGGAGATATTCAATAAATGTAGAAAGTTAATTTATTTTTAGAGGAGGAGGATTATATGAAGAAAGCCATAAAAGCAATAATTAAATAATTTCAATTAAGTAAGGAATATGGATAGAATTGAGCAATAATTATGATTAGTATTTATTTTCATTCATTATTATTTTAGTGAAAGTTAATTGACCTACAAAGGTGAATATAAAAATGGTTATAAAATTGGTATTTGGGAAACATTTTAAAGATTTTATGATCAAGAGTGGAAAATAGAATAAATGTATGAGCAATAAAATAATCAATTTTATAGAGGTGGTGGCTAATATGAGGAAATTAAATTGGATGATGAATTATTTTCAATTAAGATTGGCAAGTGGATTGAAATAAGCAATGAATTTAAGAATTGGAATTAAAAAATTTACAATGGTGAGTATAGAGATGGAAAAAAATTTGGTGTGTGGTATGAAATGAGAAGAGATGAAAAATAATTGAAGTAAGGATTTTAAAAAAAGTAAAATATTATTAATAATTCTAAAATGATAATAGTATGCAAATCAAATATTAGTGATTTAGTAATGAGATAAAATTATCTAAATTTAAATAATCTTAGTTTTTGAAATCATAATTTTATTTTAAACATAGAACAATAGTTTGCTCTAATAAATACAGCATAGTATAGTATCTTACAAACCTTCAAAATGTAAGATTATATTTTAAATTTGTAATAATGAAATTAATTATATCTCTAAAGCTTAAAATGACATACTCATATTGTTATTTTTTTTTTCTCAAAACTTATTCTTTTTTATTTTTGCAATTCATAAATATAAAATTACAATTCTTAAGATTTAATTTTATTTTTAAATCATTTTTAAACTTAATAATTAATATTTCTTATTTTTGAACCCTACTGAGCTCCACATATCATTCTCGTCTATCAAAATTTATTCTATATAAGTGTATTTAATCGAGATCTGAAAAAAACTTCTAATTTTTCAAATTGTTTAGCTCTTTTGTTTTTTTAACGAAGTAGAGACATATATAGAATAATAAGATTCATTAAAAAACAAAGCATAATAATAGTTGTAAAAAAGCTAAACAATCTTGTGATATTTTAAATGCATACTTTAATTCAGAAAGAAATGCCTTAATAAATATTAGTAATGAAAATAAGAACGAAAAATTTTCTGATTCACCTAAAATCCTTATAATGATTAGTACATAAATGCTTCGTTTAAAAATAACAGTATTAAAATATATATCACATTTCTTTTTAGAATATATATTTAGGTTAATTATTAAATCTGTAACCCTAGTATTTTAAAATTGTTGGTTTTTTATCTGGTTAAATTATTATAAAATTTATAATTTTTAAATAATAAAATTCATGTAACAAGCCTTAAGTATATCTCTAATGAAATAATTACAAAAAAACACCAAACTCTCTTCAAAACAATTTTATTAGAAAAAATATCGCAGAGTATTAAAAATAATTAGCTTACTTACGAATTAATCTATATTTATTATTTTCATTAATATTTGCAAGTTATTAAGAGTTAAAACAATAATCAATTAGAAAAACTGAAATTCATATTCAATTTTAGTAAGATTGAGTTTTAAAAGTAATTTTATTTTGCAAATAAAAAATTATTTAGTCAATAAATTTAATAAATTAATAATCACTTAGTTATTTCTATAATCGCAATAAAATTTATGGATAAAAACAATTATCATTAGAATAACTACAGAATATTGATTTTATGATAGGCTCATCCATATTTACATTTATTTTGCTAAATAAAAAGTGTATTAAGAATTTTGGATTTTTTATTCTTCTTCCAGTATTTGATTATATTAGTTTAAGAGTTTTAAATGGGAAATGTGAGAAAAAGAACTGTCATCAATATTTGTTTAATTATTATCAAATTCAATCAATAATTAAATTTTTCATTAATATCAGAAAGTATAACCGGATTTTATCACTATAAACTTTTTATAAAATATTAACTTGATTGCAACTTTGAGTTTGAAATATCATATCGATTAGACTTTTATAATTTTTTTTTATATTTATAAACATCAATTAGATGTTTGAATTTTTTAGAAGTAAATAAATTTAATTTGTAGAATAGGCAAAAAGTATTTTTGTAAACAATTGATTATTAAAAATGAAATTCTTATTTTTTGTAGTATATACTTTAGGGATTTCTATTGATACGCAAAAAGAATATATATTTCATAATTTTAAATATATTAAAAGAATATTTTATCTCAAATAAATTCTATTATAATATTTAGATATTCTTCTTTTTTACTTTGGCAGGTATGTTTATAACCTTGTTGATAAATACAATTTACTATTTTTTAAATGAATCTAATATAAAATATTATTGGCTTTATTGAGGATAGAGAGGATTCGAATTCATTAAGAAGGAATGACATGAATTAAAATTTTCTATAGAGCTATTTTATACATAAATTGTAAATACAATATAAAATTTTATGGATAAAAATAAATTACTTTATTAAATATTCTTATTTTAATAAGAATTGTATAAATATTTTGATTTCTTTAAAGATTATACTATTTTTTAATAATTTTATATTATTATTATAATTTGGATGTTACATAACCAAAATTATTAGAAGACTTGATCGATTGATGAAATGAAATCTGATGATTCAATCGCCTCATCTACTATGATGTTGTAAAACACGTTTAAAAATAAATATAATTAATGGATTTTTGAATATTGTTCATAATGAACGAATAAAATTATTTCAGGATAAGTTATGAGATAATAAGAATCATTTTGAAAATTATCAAATGAATTCAAGGAAAGCATAAAGCAAGTAAATTAAGATAAATATAATAAAAATTTAGACAATTTAATTATTCTGATAAAAATAAGTTCAACACTCAATCTAACCACTCCAATAGAAAACAAAGTAGAATAAAACCAAATGCCATAAAATCCTTTATAATAATAATATTCAATCATAAACTAAGCTCAATATTTGTAATCATATCCTGATAATTGTAATCTTATTGTATTTTAAATTATATTCTGAGTTTATTTTTCATCAACTTCTAATGAATAAAGAAACAAATTCAAAAATAATGCCTTCATTATTGCTCATTAAAATTTGATTAATATTAACAAACACAGAATTCTCTTTTCTCATAATTTTACAAATAAATTCGACAAACTCTTACAAAAGCCATATTCTGTGATCCAGTTTTCGCTTTTAATACCTACTTTTACAAATTAATGACCTTTATTATATGAGCGGATTAGAATTAATGTAAAAACACATAAGTAAATTATTGCAAATAACATAATGAAAAAATTAAATAAAATTAGAAATTTATCACAATCATCATTTCTTATAAAACCTTTTCCTATAAAACTAGGTCAAAAATATTTTAATATTTTGATTTTTTCTTTCCTTTAAATCTTTAAATCTTAATTTAGACTTTTGATTGATTATATCTAATTTCTAGAGATCTTTTTTCTTATCCAATTGGAATTTATATTAATTTATCTATACCCAATTTTTCTTGAAATTATAATATATTCAATCTATCTATGATACATAATATTTTTTTTCATAAATCAAATACTATAATTGATATTTAAATGTATTTGTTGTAGGCATTTTTATTAGATTATATATTAAACTATGTTAAATTTTCAGAGCGATATAAAATATGATTTAAAAGATACGATTTAAAATGATGGAATGAAAGATACTTGTGTTAGAAAGTATAAATCAAAAATTTTTAATATGTTTAATATAATTGTTATAATTATAAAATTGATTTCAATTTTTATAACAACTTTTCTCTGCCATAATATTTAAAGCTTGTGGATTATCTTTTTGATACTCATCCAAAATTTAAAATAATATTTTTTCAACATGCAAAATAAAAGTTTTTGAATACTCACAATTATTTTCATTTGAGTCTTAAAATTTTTTCATTTCTTTCTCTTGTTCTTAAATATTAGGAAGAATCATTGATTCATTAAGTACTTACGAAAATGAATTTATTTCCGATTAGTTTGCAAATTACTCATTAGCAAATGGTGAAGCCTATGAAGTTTAATCATTTTTGAGATCAAATAATTTTTTGCGTAAAATTTACAATAAGCCAAAGATTTCAATACAAGTTTATTGAATTTAATTTTAGTGATTAACTTATTTTTCATTGGATTAATCAAAATTTGCTTTTTAAAAAACTGTAAAATTTTAAGGAATATTTTGTTTTTCACCTATTTCTGATTATTCTTCATTATCCTCCTGATTAGCAGATTCATTGTAATTTAAATCTAAATTTTATGCATTTTTATTATATATTATTTTTTAATCTAAACTTTCCATATTTGTATTTCCTGTTGAATTTTCTATAGTATTTTCTTTTTCTAATTATTTTTTTTTCTTTTCATTTTAGAGCTATTCTTCTAATTATTTAATTTTCGTTTCTTAATCTTTTATTTCTGATTTTTACAACATTATTTCTTGTTTAAGAGAAGATATTTCTATTTCCTTTTCTTAAATTACTTTTTCTTTAACCTCTAATTAATTTTAGATTTCGAATTATTTTTAACTATAATTTTTGAAATCATTTTGAAGAGCATCAATTTTTCTATTAGATTCATTAATTTGAACTTAATAAATAGAAATTTATTTTTCATTATTGGTTGAAATAACACTTTATAAATTTTAAAAACCTAATTCAGTTTTGGATAAGAAAGAATTTATTAAATGTTAAATGATTTTATTTTCTTATTATTGATTTTCATGAAATAATTTAATTCGTTCGTCTAATTTCTAAATATTGTCATTAACAGGAATTTGTTAATTCTGTTAAATATTAATTGAATTTGGTACACTTTATTTAAAATTAGGTTTTTGAATATTGTTTAAAATGTTATTGCATTAAGAAATGGATTATAGTCTTTCAATAACCTATGCTATTTTAATTCTCTACTCAAATTAAAATTAAAACATGGACCTTAAAAGGAATTTAATCTAATCACAAGCAACCAAAGAAACTATTTTATTTTCTATAAATTTTGTTTCTTAACAATTAATAATTGTTTCTTTTAACTATTAATAATTTTGAGCTAATTTTAAAGAATAATAAAAATACCTTATACTATTGGAGTTCCTGAAAATAATTCATAAAATACACAAGCTAGAGACCATATATCTACTGCTTAAGTATAGTCACTTCTTCCTAATAATATTTCAGGAGCTTAAAAAAGAGGTGTTCCTACAAGTACTGACATATCTACACCTTTATTTGTTTTTGTCAATCCAAAATCAATTAATTTAAATTAATCATTCACTTTAATAAAGTTCTCTGGTTTAATATCCCTATGAACTTATTGATTTTAATGTAAAAAATTTATAGAATATGAAATCTAAATCTAGAGAAATTCTTACTTGTAAAGCGATTTTAATTTTATCTTTGTAATCTAGAAATTTATTTTTAGAAATATAATTATATAAATCTTATTCCCCAACTTCCATTACCAAAATTTATTTCCCATTCCATTAAAATTTTTCATAAATTCTAATAATATTGGATGGTTATATTTAAGTAGAATTATTTTAATAATTCTCATATTGATTCTAATAAGCAATAAGTTTATCAATAAATTGAATTTCTTCTTGTTTGAAATTATTTTAAATTTTTAAAGCAAATTTTTTCTAATCATTACTGAATCCCCATTTGATTGATTTTACTAAATAAACTAAGCCTTCATTCCCATTTCCTAGGGCTTCTAATATTTAAAATTTTCTCTCTTCATATTCTGGGATTGATGCACTAATGAGACTTCCAACTTATATCATCAAATTCTATTACTTTTATAATTAAAATTATATTTATAGCCAAAATAATTTAAAAACAAAATATTCTTGAATCCAATATTCATATTGTAATGTTTTTTATATGATTTATCTAACTAATTATTTTATTTCATTCTAATTATTAAAAATGATATAATCTTTAAATTTGAAAAGAAATTACAGTGAGAATGCGTATTCTAATACTATGTCAGAACTCATAGGTAGGCATCGATTATTAAATCTGAAAAATATTTATATAATAATTCCAAGAATCCATAATTCAAATAGCAATATAAAATCCATACTTTTCCAAAGAGTGGTCGATAAAAACTAGCTTAAAGTTTAGTAGAATTTTCTCAATCTTTATATATTAATATTTATTTGGGCAAGCTTAGATAAATCTGTTAATCATCACATCGTTTTTTAATTTAATACATATTATTTAATAATTAAGGGGATGAAAAAAGTTGTTTTAATAAAATTTGCAAATTTGTTAAAATTTGAATTTTTGAAGTAAACCTTATTTGGCCTTAATGGAATAAAGACACCTTTAGGCTATGGAATTTTAGATGGAGATATTAATGTTTGTCTATTGATACAAAAAATAATGTCAATATCTATAATGTATTAATATTATTCAAAATCTTTTAAAAATGGTTTATGGGATAAGTTGTTGTCATAAAAAAAGATTAGAAGAACATTACAAATGATTATGCTTAAAGTTGGAATTTTGAAAAAAATTGAATTCAAAATTTTCTTTTCTTAAATTATTTTGAGTATATTATTAAATAACATAATTTATCATTAAAAGTTGGTTTTACGCTCACTTATAAAAGTCCTTTCAAAATCTAAAGCAACTTATATGCAGATATAAATCTAATTTTAAAGTAAACAAGTTAGAAATCATGAATCTGAGTCTGAATATTTATTTTTATACATTCCTTTGAGTTATAAAGTTTATTTATTAAATCAATATTTCATTTTAAATAAGAAGGCTCAATTATATACATATTGGAAAATGTTGGAAAATGTTGAAATCATTCTTAATAATTAAGTAATTTGAAAAATACAAAATTAAAATAAAATATATAATATTAAGATTATACTAATTAAGGATTTTATGAAAATTTTTTAGATAATTGTTACCTATAAATTTCAGTATAGTTTTTCTAATTTTATCTTCTTTTGAAAAGAATTTCTAAATCAATCGTAGAATATTGTTTATAATATTCTAATTTTCAATAAGTTTATGTCGGTTAATAAAGTTTAAAAAGTATCACTTAATTTATTGAATGATTAAGAATAAGCGATCAATCTAGGTACACTCATATGATTAAAGTACTATGAGATATTAAGTGCTCTTTTAATTCCTTTTAAAATTATTTAAACTAAAATGCTTATATTCCATTAAAAATAATAATCAATAACAAAATCTCTATAATAAATAGATTTATCAATTAATCTTAATTTGTAAGATTTTTAATTAAATATCAAATCAATCTGAGAACAACAATAGTTTTTTTACCATTTATAAATGAAATATAGCCTAGTCTATTAATATATTAATTATTTATCATAACAATATGATTGAAAATTGCAAGAATCATCAAGAATAAATATGTTGGGTTAATAAAGATTCAAACATTGATAAAACTGAAAGATTCCTCTGCTAAAAATGTAAAAGTAGCTCTTAAAGAAATTAAAATTTAATTAGCATTGAAGATGGAAATTGGTACATTAAAAATTATTAAGATTAAGAAAAACTAATAACAGAGATAGAAGTGAAGGAAAATATCAATAGGTTAAATAAAATGTTAGGTAAAGTTTAGGAGATTAAAAATAATATTTTCACCTGGTTAGAAGCATAAGCTAAATTATTAAATAAATGGGTGGAATAATTAAATAAAATCAATAATAAAGATGATGAATTAAGTTTATTTGATAAATTAGATGTTTTTTTTCGCTAAAAATAAAATGAAGACTAATGCAGATAATAAATATAAGAAAAGATTGGAAACATTAATAATATAATGAGTGGTAAGTTTAAAAAGGTAAATTAGAAATGATTTAGAATAATTATAAACTAACTTTAATAAGGAAATTGAATAATAACTAGCAGAAATAATCTAGACATAGACAGAAAAAAAATCATTGTAAAATTAAGTTTAAAATAAATAACTCAATCCATTATAGAACCAGAAGAATAATTAAACATCATATAGAATTAAGATAGAAGAAGTTGAGTAATACACTCTAAAATTGATTAATGATAAAAATAAATAGTAAAAAGAGTGTTTAGCAATTGTATTTAATAAAAACGGATCAATCATGGTATCAACTGAAGCTCATTTAATTAAAACATGGGATTTTAAAAATAATATTTTATAAGTAAACTCTACTCTTAAAGGACATTAAGTTTAGGTCAATCAATTGCTTTATAGTAGAATGAGTGAAAATTTTCTTTCGTCTGATCTAAATGGAATTATTTTATGTTGGTCCTTAGGATTAGATGGAAAATGGATTAGTTCATAAAAATATCAAATTCATAAAGAACCAATACAAATTATGATTCTCAAAAATTGCTCTGAAAATTAACTTTTCACAGGATCCTCAGATAAAACAATCAAAATTTGGAATTTAAATTTTAATAAAAATGATCTAGAATTTATGTCAAGTTTAGAATCTCATTAAGTTATTGTTACAGGAATTCATTTAAATTAAGCAGATAAAATTCTTATATCTTGTGATAATGATTCCAAAATTAAGATCTGGTAAAAAAGCATTAATGGAAAATGGGAAACAAAATAGACGATTAATTTACCAATTTATTCTAAAAGATCTAATTTGCTGTTTACAAAAGATGACTAGTTCATTTTGGTACCTCATAATAAACAAGTTGACTTTCTTTATGTATATGAAAAAAAAGGATAAGAATTTGAATTAAATACTTAAAAAACTTTATAACTCCAAATTTACAATCTTTCTAATGATGCCAATTTTTTTTCCACTTATCAATATTACCTATGATAGATATAATAAACTAATTATTGTTGGACATAAATTCCATTTATATTTTATTTCAGAAATGGAAAATCATTAATATGAAATTAAATAAGCCTTTAAATTATCCTATTAGTAAATAACAGGATCCATAAATTATGAGGGAAAATATGTAGTCTATTATACAAAAGATAATCATTAATATTATATTTATGAATTAATTAATAACTGCTTAAAAAATTAGAATTGAGATTGAAAATTTTTCACATTATAAATTTTAAAATAATAGTTCTTAAATTACTTTTCATTATTATAATTATTATTGCTTAAATTAATGAAAAAATTATGGATTTCTTGATGCTAACCTAAATTCTAACTATTATTGGTTAGGTAGTAAAAAGAAATGTTAAAGTTAAACATTAATTGTCTAATGTAAAAATCAGAATAAACAAAGAGAAAAATTCAATAATATATTCTTGCTTGAAAATGGCTACTTCTAATATTGCAATTCAAAAACTAGTTAATAATAACTTTATTTATTGTAATATCTTCAATCTAAAGGATTTCATTCTTGTAAATTTTTTCCTAGAATGTAATTTTAAATTGTTTTTAAGTTTGTGAAATGCGCAAATATGTTTACAAGTGAAGTTGTGCAAATTATTTTTGAATGAAATCCTATCTTATTTATTTCATTTACTGATTTAAATAATTGATTTATATTATTTTATTTAAATTTTAAGGTCATATTATTCTCAGAATTAAATAGTTTCATATAATAATTTATATAATTATTGACAATATTTATGAAAAGTTATGAGGATAAAATATTTTATCCAACAATTATAAATATAATTTATATTTTCATTACTTAT